ACCATTTATAACTATAAGGAAGTTTTCATCATCCAATAAAATTCTCCCACATTTCAAGTGGTTTCCAGCTCATTGACAGTTGCCTAAGCTAACTGTCCCATCCAAAAAGTTCTCCTAACCATTTGGAGATTCATCCGCTGCTGCAATATCCTCTTAACATTTCCTGCAATGCCACGACATCAATGTAACAACTTCACATCAACAAAAATAAAATTCAACCCTAGGTAACTCACAAAATTCCCAATACGCGAAATGTATAAAATTCAACAAATATGATGCTTAAATACTCCTAAAAATGCTCAAGTCCAAACTAAACCTAGGTGAAAAAGGCTACTAAAGATAACTCTTTTAGAGAGTTATCACACCACCAAAACTAGATGTTTTCTCGCCCTCAAGCAAAAAAATGCATGAAATGTAAGAACAAAACAATGCCACAAAATAACTTTCGCCTCACATCAGCGGGGGTAATTTAACTCTGAATCTCTACAATCTGGTCAGAAGACAAGGAAATAACTTGTGCTTGATTGCATATTGTAATAATTAAAGATGGAAAATATAGATAGCCTAAAATCTTACGGGCACAAGCAAACATTTCAGCAGAGATAATTTTCCAACATTAGTTTTTCTCCCCGATAAAATAGAGTGAATAAGAAAAATCCTATCCTTAGTAATTGAGGAAAAATACATAGTTGGAATTAAACATGTTCAATGAAAAATAAACAATACCCTAGTGTCTTTATGAAGATGAAGTCGCTTTTTAATTTTAACTCCGGTTGTTGATCTTGTCCAAGAGTGCACGGGTAGAAAAATATCCCGACCCACTTACTCTAATCCTTCATCAATTAATTTTCCATAAACATCGAATGCTTGCACGACTCCTCAACGATACCTAACAGAGTGTTGATGGCCTTTGCCAACCAGTGAACCATTTTTTCACGGATAAACACCAATCATTTAGTCTAATCGGTAAGGTTACTATAAAATTCCCTAACCACTAGTTGCTTAATATCATCGGGGTGCTCATAAAATTTTTCCCATCCTCGATGGGTGATCATTTGGATATGTAGTAAAAAATCTTAGAGTCCTCCTCCATAGATAAATTGAAACATTGCTCATAAAATTCACGGTTAGAAAATTCCTCTTCATAACGTCGTTGTTTTTCCTCATCCATAAATCTCGTGATATCTTCTAACAGAGGAACTTTGTGCAGTGCAAGGACAGTCGGAGATGGAGTTGGTGTGTGTTTAGAAAGCTTTGAACTCACTTTCTTTATTGGTGCCATGGTACACCTCGAGTAAATGATTGAAATGGAGAAGAGGGATATCAAATATTTTTAGAAATGCAAGGAGAGTAAGAATAAAAAAAACTAAAGTAAATGGGAGTAAATGGGTTGATTGAATAAAGGATAATTTTTTTTAAATTTAAAATTAAAGTGTTGAGGGATAAGTTATATTTTGAATGGGCAGTTATGATTTGCCTAGGTGGATGGTGAAAAAGTTAAAAAGGGTAAATGGTATACAGATAACAATAATTTCACCATAAAGGAGATATTATCATCAAAGTGCTACTGTACCTTTAATAACAACATTGGATGTACACTAGGCCATAGATAGTTTTGCAACGAAGATCTATTGACAAAGGGTGATTGAGATTATGGATGCAACAACAAAAACCTATAAAAATAAAACAAAAATAAGAACTTGAGAAAAATAGATGTCAAAGAAATTGACTTATTTATAATGTAAAAATAATAAAAAGGAGGATGATCGCTTAGTGTGATTGAAGCAATTCTAGGGCTTTGTTGCTGACAATAATGCATTAGATGTTGCCCATTGAATTTAAATGTTCTTCCATCCACCAAATTCTTTAGTAACACCACGAAATGAGGGAAAACGTCAAGAACTTCAAAATAGTCTGACCAACAAGAATGCAACTTCCAAGGAAATAACTTCAATCGCGAATTAAATAGAAGAACTTCATGTCTAGAGATGAATTATCCTAAAATAATATGTTGATCATGCCATTTCTTACTCTTGTCTTTGTTGATGCGTGAAATCTCATAGACGTTTTTTGGAGCTCATTTAGCTCTAGAATTTTTTTTTCGCCTGCAACATCTAGTTTAAAGTTCAATTTCTTTAATGCCCCCATAGCCTTATGCTCCAGCTCTACATGTAAATGACATACTTTTCCATACACAAGACTGTAAGGAGACATCCCTAATAGAGTCTTGTAAGTATTCTTATAAGCCCACAGTGCTTCTTTAAGGCGTTGAGATCAATCTTTTCTAGAAGGATTCACAACCTTCTCAAGAATTAGCTTAATTTCCCTATTGGATACCTTAGCTTGACCTTTAGTCTGAAGATGATATGTTGTAGTGATCTTATTCTTCACACCATATTTGTTCAATGCTCAACAATTTGATTTCAATTGAATTGAGATCCATCATCATTGATAAACATAACTCCACTTCAGCATTGCTATTTGGCAAGGTTACAACTTCCATCCATTTGGAAACATAATTAATGACAACTAGAATAAAAAGGTTGCCATATGAAGATGTGTAAGGACCCATTAAATATAATCCTTAGACATGAAAAGTTCAATCTCCAAGATAGGTTGCATTGGCATCTCATTTCACCGAGAAATATTACCCATTTGCTGTCATCGATCACAATGCTTGAAAAATTTATTGGTATCTTTAAAAAGTAATGGCCAATAATATCCTCGTTGAATCACTTTTGTTGTTGTATGCGTACCACCAAAATAACCTCTGTAAGAGGCGCTGTGGAAATATTCTATAATGTTTTGTTGTTCACACTCATGAATACATCGTTGTTTGCATTGTCTAAATAAACACGACCCAATGGTATTGCCTTACATCTCTCATAAATTTTCTTCTGCCTTGATAATTAAGATTGGGTGGCATCATTCCAGTAACTAGATAATTTTCAAAATTAACATACCATGGTAATGTTGTAGCAACAAGTAGTCATTTGTCCGGAAAGTCATCTCGAATTACTAAAATGCTATCATCCTCACTGCCAGATTATAACATAGATAAGTGAGCAACCACTTGATGAGCCACCAGGTATGAATAAAATTCATAGTCAAACACCACTGCGAGCATGTCTTTTTTAGTTGTGGTATAATTAACTTGAGCATCATTCAATGTTATGCTTACATAATGTATAGCGTGAAACACTTTATCTTTTCGTTGCCCTAGCACTCCAGCTACAATAAAGTCAATAGCATCACACATTAACTCAAAGGGTAATTTCCAATCTGATGCTACAATGACATGTGTATTCACTAGCTTCATCTTGATTGCCTCAAAGGAATTAAGCACTTCTTCATCAACAATGAACTTCCAGTTGCGCTCCAGCAATGAACACAACGACTTAGCTATTTTTAAAAATTCCTTGATAAATATTCTATAAAAACCAGCACGGCCAATAAAGCTTTTGAACTACCTTTACATTATATGGAGGTGGAAATTTCTCAATATCATGGTAGGAAATTCGGTGCCCAAGCACTATACCTTCTATGACCATAAAATGACATTTTCCCAATTCAAAACTTAGTTGGTCTCCTCACATCTCCTCAAGACTATAGCCAAGTTATTCAAAAAATTCTCAAAATTTTTCACAAACACGAAAAAAATCATCCATAAATATCTCAAGATAATATTCAATCATATTAACGAATATGACCATCATGCAGCAATGAAATGTCGTTAAAGCATTGCATAACCTAAAGAGTGTTCTTTAGAAAGCAAAAATACCATATGGACATGTGAAAGTTGTTTTATCTTGGTTCTTCAGTGCTATATGAATTTGGTTGTACCCATTATATCTATCCAAAAAATAGTAAAAAGCTTTTCCGATAAGACAATCTAGCATCTGGTATATGAATGAAATTGGAAAGTGGCATTTCCTTGTCAATTTGTTAAGTTTCCTATAGTTCATACATATTCTCCAACTAGTAGTGGTCTATGAAGGGCATCGAAGTCAATAGAGCATCAGATATAACAGGTATTGATGTCGGCACTGTCTCTAAATTACTACATTATCCTGCATATGATGATATGGTATGACTCATAGGCGATTCATGCTCAACTTCCTTGCTTTCTCCTGTACCATGCTTAGGAATATCCATATCATTCTTCTTAGACTCTTCAACCGGCTCCCCAATATGAATTCCAATCCTTGTAGTGATGGCCTTGCAATGCTCTTTACCATTTGGCTTTGGATTCTCAGTGTCGATATATAATGCTCCTTGCAACCGATTTTTAAGAGTATTAGCCATTTGCCCCATCTATTTATCTAGATCCCTTAATAAGGCTAATTGGCTCGTTATATATTTTTCATCAAAGATTCAAAAGATGATAAAGTTAATGTTTGGGTTAAAGATCGACCTTGATATGTTTGCCTTTGCTGTGGTTGAGCGACTAGATGTTGTGCTTGTGGTGGAAGTATCGAGTTTTACTGATTATATTGTTACCGCAGATAATGTTGTCATTGCATATTAGCAACATTCTAACTTCTCCAAGAAAGATTGGGATGATTCCTAAAATTGGCAGTATATGTGATTCCAAAAGCATTGTCATTCCTTTGATAATTCAACACATAATAGATAGATTTTAGATTTTGGGGACATTCATCAAAGTTGTAATTATCACCACAGTAAACACACGTGATGATTGATGCAGCTTTGACTTCATACATTCCTAATGGTTTTTGATATTTCTTTATCATATCTATCAATACTAGAGTATAAGATGCCATAGTGTTGAAAGCTTCAGAATCTATTATTGCAGTGTTGCGACGACTAAACATATTTCTCCATAATATTGACAATCATTTGTTAAGATCCTCTCCATAATATCATAAGCCTCATTATATGTCTTATCTAACAAAGCTCCGTTCATTGAACCATCGACCACCATACGAGTATGTTTGTTTAACCCATTGTAAAACATCTCCATTTCGTTCAAATGTGGGAAACCATGCAGAGGACACTTTTGTAGCAAATCCTTGAATCCTTCTCATGCTTGATACAAGCTTTCATCCTCCATTTTCTTGAATAAAGTTAGATCATTTCAGAGTTTGGCATTCATGTTTGGATGGTTGAATCGCAACAAAATATTTTGCGCTAACTCATTCCAAGATGTTATAGCACTTAGTGGCAGTGAACTCAAACAAGTCCGTGCTTGGTCACGTAACGAATAAGGAAATAACTTCATCTTCAGTGCTGCCTCTAGAACACCTTACTGATTAATTGAGTCACAAACCTCCATGAACGCTCTCAAATGAGCCCTAGGACCTTTAAAATAGACCCTCCTTACTATCTCATAGATTGTAACATTTGAAACATAACTGGATTTTATTTAAAGTTCGCAACATTAATCACTAGCCGTACTATTCCCAGATACAGATCATCCAGTGTCGGTACAACTTGCTCGCAGACAGGGTGATCATGATTATCCATGTTTTGAAATGGTTGTTCCGATTCATTGCCATCAGGTAATGTACCGACCTCTCCATTATGCAACGAGCGTAGAATATCAATCCCTCGTTTAACGATATTTGTTTTTCTCTTTGCAGCTTCACAACGACATCTCCTAAAAGTCCTTTTAATCTCTGGATCAAATGTCTCTAATTCTTCGTCGCTTCAGGGCATACACTAAAAAAATGAAAACTAAAAAGTATCTATAAAAGAAAATAGCAGTGTAAGCAAAATAAAGAAAACCCTAAATTAAACTGATACCACAACAATGCTAAAAACTTGATTCTATAAAAATTTTATAGCAATTACACAAGTGCACGCATCGTAAACCAAGTAATAAGTGGTATCAAGCTAATGCTACGGATGTCGAACCCACAGGGAATAACATGTTTTCATTAGAGTCTACAAGCATAAAGAATTTTAAGTAGGGAATATGTGCTAAGTAAAGGATAATAAAATCAATAAAAGAGATTCTAGTTTTTGCTACGGTAGTTCAAAGAGAAATAAGTTAGCTATCAAATTGATGGAAATGATATTGTGAACATCATACCTTATGTAAATAGAACACACTAAATCTATGTGATCATTATTGATTATGACCTTATAAACATCTCTAATCACTTTCATTAATTAAAGGTTAAATATATTAACAAAGCCAATCGATTGGATGCATGCTTTTCAACATACACATTACTACTCAGCGCCACCAATGCTATCAAAGACACACACTTAATCAACCAAATCTATTTCTAGAAATAATTGATATTACCATTAATGTAATTATAAATATTTCTACTCATAATCATAATGTATCAAGCACATAAAAGAAGTAGTAAAATAAACATAAAATAATAAATCCACAAATCATCTACAAAGTTTATAAAACATCCAAAGCACTCACTCTCTCAATAAAAGACTTCGAATGGCAAACCGCTGACTACCGATGCTACTCAGCAAGGTCTCCCTATAGTGCAACAATCCATTGCTTAAGCTTCCATGGCGCATGAGTGTAAACGTTAGAAATGGGTACTTTGAAATGGCTTCCGATGATCACATTTTTTAAGCTTGCAAGTACGCCCATTTATAGCAATAAGAAAGTTTTCATTCTCCAATAAGATGCTACCATGTTTCAAGTGCATCATCCCATCAACATTTCCTACAATGCTACGATATCCGTGTAACAGCTTCACAAAAACAAAAATTATATTCAACCCTAAGCAACCCATAAAATTCCTAACATGCTCATAAAAATGCTCAAGTCCAAACTAAACCTAGGTGAAAAAGGCAAATAATGCTAACTCCTTTAGAGAGTTATAAGTCAAGTCCAAGCAGATGGTACTTATTATTCCAAATCATAAACTAATTGTCTCTACCATGTTGAAAAAAGTGCACAAATGGATTCAAATAGTGATGGCTTTGATGGAAATTTCTTGGTAATTAGACAAAACCTAAAAATACAAGCTGTGGATGACTCAGTTGAACAAAGGAAAAGCATCTTTCACACAATATGTTAGATAAAAGATAGGACATACTTGTTGATCATCGATAATGGAAGTTGTGTTAATATGATAAGAAGTTATGTGGTGGATTAACTTGTCTTGTCAACAACATCAAAAGCCATACTATTTAAAATGGCTGAATGAGAGTGCGCGCTAAACTGAAAGTACTAAGCAATTCCTTGTTAATTTGAAGATGAACAAGTATTATGATGATGTGTGGTTTGATGTACTTCTGATGCAAGCATCTCACATTCTTCTAGGAAGACCATGGCTATATGACAATGATGTTACCTACTATGGTAAGGCAAACAAGTATTTTTTGAACATACAAGACAAACCTTACTGATATGATCTTGATTATGTTTCGAGTCATATATGTGAATGCCCGATCGTGATTCTAGTAAGAAACCCCGTAATGATAGCTTGAACTCTGAAATTGCATAAATATAAACATAAAAAGAAAATGATATGAAATAATAATTGAAATGATGAAATGAAAAGAATGAGAAAGTTGTTTGAAGTTGATGGAAGAGTAATGGTTGTTGTGGTTTAATGATAATGAAAATACATGGTGAAGTATGAATGGTGTTGTCGTGGCAAATGGTGTTGTTATGGTAAGTGTTGTAAGGTTAAAGCGGATTGTGACCCGTTAGCTATTTGGAGCTAAGAACCAACAATATAAAAAGATGGAATCGAAATGTTAGGGTATGGAACGTGACCCACTAGCTATAGATGAGCAAGGAACCAACGCTATAACAAAAGGAAATGGATGAAGACTACAAGACTATCTTGATGCGCATAAAGTTCTACAAGAGAACAAGAATGAAAGCAACCTCTCAAAGATTTTTTATATATTCAAATGTGTCTACAAAGGATCCCCAAATGTGCCTATTTATAGTTTTTCTAAATAGCATATGAAAAGACTCAAAAGATGAAAACATTCTCATCAATTTAGCAATAAAATGAACTTGAATGCTTTGTCTTCTTATCTTCAAGGTTGGCTGAATATTCTAGATCATTTTGGGGATGAATCTAGACAATTAGAAGCTGAATTTAGCCTTAATTTCGTCCAAAGGGTGGAAGACTCTTGCCATTCCATACTGAAAATTGTTTTAACAAGTGAATTAAATCACCATTCATTGCATGCTCCCTTGAAGAATATGAACAGCCCTTGAATTTAGATGATAACCATCAGCTTTAAATGCCTTCAATGGGTGAATTATAAGAGTCCTTTAATGGCTTGTCACTTGGATGAAGTTGAAAAGACTCTCCCTTGGCTCAAACTCATCCAAATCATCCTTGCATAAAATTCCCGTAACAAAATTCTAGCCTGCACTATCTTCAATAAATCGATCATATCTCAAGCTTACGATATTGGATTAAGGTGATTCAAAAGGCGTTGGAAAGATAAGAGATAGAGTAATAATTTCCAATTGATTTCTAGAACCAAACACATCTGTATCGCATCCAGAATTGGAAGACATTCTGACTGGAATTCTTGCATATGATGAAACCAGTCAACTTCTCTCATGCACCTAAACACAAAGGTAAACTTTATTCAATATTTAATTGAAAAAAATCCATGAAACAATTAAGAGTTGATTTAATAAACATACTAGTTTAATTAATGAACTACTTCCCAAAATGAACCAGATGATTTAAATGCAATGCATGCTCGAATGAACAACACACTTATTAAATGCAATGAATGTTATGCAAACTTTAAATTCTCATGCATATTCATGCATAAGAAACATAAAGTGTTCCTCCCTTATTATTCCTCATTCATCACGTTCCAAACTTGATGCAAACATACTCTCCATGGCTTCTTGAAACACCATAAGCCTTGCTCGTGAGATTGTGCCACTTGGGTCATTCTTCGGGTCTTTGCTATTGGGGATCATACCAGTCCCTCCCTCTTTAAAGCGATTTGTCCCCAAATCATCACCTATTTAAAGGAGACAAGTCAGAAACATTGAAGGTTGCACTAACATTAAACTCACCTGGAAGATCTAATTGATAGGTGTTGTCATTGATCTTCTTGACTATATGGAATGGTCCATCTCCCCGAGGCATTAATTTGGACTTTCGTTGAGACGAAAACCTCTTTCCTCATGTAAAGCCAGACCCAATCCCCTGGCTCAAAAGTAATTCGCTTAAGACCCTTATTTGCTTGCTGGCTGTATTGCTTAGTTTGTTTTTCAATGTTCTCCCTCACTTGTTAATGACGCTTCTTAACAAACTCAGCTTTGTTAAGTCCATCTTTATTCACAATTTGATCAGCGGGTAATGGTAACAAGTCTATCGGTGTTAACGTATTGAACCCATACACCAATTCAAAAGGTGTATGCCCAGTAGTAGTATGGATTGAACGGTTGTATGAAAACTCCACATGTGGTAAACTTTCCTCCCATGTTCTCAAATTCTTCCGAATAAAGGATCGAAGTAACATGGAACGTACTCAATTCACCACTTCAGTTTGACCATCCGTTTGAGGGTGGCATGTGGTGGAGAATAGTAGCTTAATACCAATCTTACTCCATAAGGATCTCCAAAAGTGGCTTAAGAACTTCACATTCCGATCACACACAATAGTTCTAGGTGTACCATATAGCCTTAAAATTTCCCTAAAAAACAAAGTTGTAATATGTGAGGCATCATTAGTTTTGTCATAGGGAATGAAATGAGCCATTTTGGAAAATCTATCAACAACTACAAAGATGGAGTCTTTGTTGTTCATTGTGCGTGGAAGCCCTAGCACAAAATCCATTGAAATATCCATCCATGGTGCTTTCGGTATAGGTAGTAGTGTGTAAAGTCCATGTGGCATGACTTTAGATTTGGCATTATTGCAAGTAATGCAGTGCTCACATAACCTTTCCACATCTCATTTCATTCTGGGCCAATATAGATGTTCTTGAAGTATAGCTAAAGTCTTCGCTATCCCAAAATGTCCTATTAATTCTCCTCCATGGGCTTCCTTAGTGAGCAATTATCGCATGGAACCTTGAGGGACACATAGTCTCCCTTCCTTGAATAGAAAACCATCATACTTAAAGTATTTATCAATCATCCCTTTCTCACATGCTTTGTAAATTACTCC